AAAACGTGTGGGTTTTGGTAGGTAGCGTCACAGTTCCATTAGAAACTTCATCTACTCGAGCTGGCCAATGAGGATCCCCTTTTTTCTTGGCGACAATTAGATGTCCCGGTTTGAAATATTGGGAGGGAAAGGGGCGGTACATTGGGAATTGGGAGCTCAGAGAGCAGCCACAGCATGTGGGAGTCCAGACAGATCCCTGCAAGAGGAGGGGATGCCTTGGGACTTCTGATGAGCCTGCTTGGGGCCACAGCCACTGATGCGGGGTGGTGGTGGGTGGCGGGCTGGTCTACATCAGAAACGTCTCAACCTCTGGAATCTCAACCACCTCCGCCTTTGATGCTTTCCCTTCCAACTTTGTTTTTCCAACGTCTTTACTTTGGATCAGAACTGGAGAGTTAGTATGGAATCTCGCTATCCACCGGAGGGCGCAGCGTTCGTTCCTTGGTTCGTTCCTTGCATTTATTGTTTGGCTGCAGCACGTGGTGTTTTGCAATGCTTGCACAACGGATCGGGAGCACTTCCTGTTCAAAGCGTCGGGCTCTAGACTGTGCACAGCTGTCCTGTCTCCCAAGAGACACTGTGCTCCTTTGTGAGCAGAGCAAGCAGGGAAAGGCGGGGTGACAGACAGTTCAGAGAAAGATCTGCTCTGCTTGCCTAGTCACTAAAGACTTGATAGTCCCACTCTATATAGCCGCTCAAGGTAATCAAGATCTGTTGAATTGCTCTAATAAAAATTGTTGTTGCCGTGATTAAGATGTCATAAAGCCGGTTATGACTCATAATGGCCCTATGCACAAGAGAACACAACCATTGCTGTGTTTGAGGCCACTGCTGCAGCGACTGCGTTAATCTTGCTGAGGTCTCTCTTTGCCGCTGTCACTGTGCTTTACTAATGATGTCCTTCTCCAGGGATTGGTCTTTTCTGATCACATGTCCGAAGTGCGTCAAGTCTCTCCATCGGCACTTGCAAGGAGCATTCTGGTTGTACTTCTTCCAAGACAGATTTCTTTGTTCTTTTGGCTGTCTATGGTACTTGAAACAGTTTCCTTCAGTACCATAATTCAAATGGATCAATTCTTCTGAGGTCTCCCTTATTCAATGTCCAACTTTCACATGCATGTGAGACATCCTTTCGTCTTTGTTCTTTGCAATGTTAAAGAAGTCTTGTACAGCAGATAAAGATTAGAACCAAGAAACAGTATGGGGTAGCTTTACTCTGTCACGTGGGGTCACTATGAATCTAAATCTCCTCCCCGACACCTGACAGCTTCTCTGTCTAGTCTGGCCAGTGTTTGGGAACCCGCTCCTTTTTGTCTGGCAGCTGACAATTGCTGGGGTCTCCTCTGGATCTGAAAGAGTCTTTGTTGTTTCTCAGTGTTCTTGCAGAGAGGTTGGAAACAACTCTTCTTATCAACTTCCTAGAAGTCCCTCATTCATTCTTTATAGTGACTGCATACTTTTCTATGATATGAAGGTGTCACCATTTCTTCAGCAGTTATCATATTGAATGTTGCCAGTATTTGAACAAATCAATCCACAACACACACCCATGTGTATATGTCCTTTAGAATTGATACGATTATATTCATTTCTATGAGAAGCTTTCCCAGTGTGGAATTTATGAGGAGAAAGGCAAACGCTTGTTTGTTATGTGTTTTTTTATCTTTTAAGTTTCTAAAATTTATTTATTGATCATCTTGGGGGCTCTTAGAGATATTATAACAATCCATAAATCAATTACATCAGGCAAACTTGTACAGATGCTTCCATTATAATTTCAAAACATTTCTTTCTACTTGAGCCCCTTGATATCAGCTCCTCTTTATTTCCTCCCTCTCCCACACTACCACCCTTGTGAACCCTTAATTAATTATATATATATTTCATATCTTACATCATCCGATGTAACATTCACCCAAAGTTCTGTTATTTGTCCCCCTTGAGGGGGGTTATACATACATCATTGCTATCAGTTTCCTCTTACCCCCATTCCACACCTTCCCCTCCCTTCCTGTACCCTTACAGAATCATTACTCCCATTACTGCTTCTGAGGGGTTTATGTATCCTGGATTCCATGTATCAAAAGCTCTTATCTGTACCAGTGTACATACACCAGTCTAACAGGATTTGTGAGGTCGAACTGGGGCCATGACAGTCGGGGGAGGAAGCATAAGAGAACTAGAGCAATGTTGTGTGTTTTGTTGGTGCTATAGTGCACTCTGGATGGGTTGTCTCTTTTGTGTGTCCCTTCTTTGAGAGAGTTTCCAATTTAAGATGGGCTTTAGGTCTCCACTCGACCCCTCTCCTTCACAATGATATGTTTGTTTGTTTTTTGATCTTCTGATACCTGATTCTGTCCACAACTCATGATCACACAGGCTGGTGTGCTTCTTCCAGGTGGGTTTTGTTGCTTCCCTGCTAGAAGGCCACTTGCTTAACTTCAAGCCTTAAAGACTCCAGATGCTATATCTTTTTTTTAAAACATTTTATTAGGGGCTCATACAACTGTTATCGCAATCCATACACACATCAATTGTGTAAAGCGCATTTATACATCATTCTCAAAACATTTTCTCTCCACTTAAACCCCCGACATTAGGTCCTCATTTTCCCCCTCCCTCCCCGCTTCCCCCTCCCCCATGAGCCCTTGATAGTTTATAAATTGGTATTTTGTCATATCTTGCCCTGTCCGATGTCTCCCTTCACCCACTTTTCGGTTGTCTGTCCCCCAGGGAGGAGGTCACACACAGTTCCTTGTAATCGGTTCCCTCTTTCCTACCCATTCTCCCTTTACCCTCCCTGTTTCGCCACTCACACCACTGGTCCTGTAGGGCTCATCCGCCCTGGATTCCCTGTATTTTCAGTTCCTATCTGTGCCAGTGTACATCCTCTGGTCTAGCCAGACTTGCAAGGTCGAATTCGAGTCATGGTAGTGGGAGCGGGGAGGAAACATTTAGGAATTAGAGGAAAGTTGTATTTCTCATCGTTGTTACATAGCACCCTGACTGGCTCATCTCCTCCCCGAGACCCCTCTGAAAGGGGATCAGATGCTATATCTTTTAATAGCTGGGCACCATCATCCTTCTTCACCACATTTGCTTATGCACACATTTTGTCTTTAGCAATCGTGTCAGGAAGGTGAGTATCACACAGTGCCATGTTATTAAAACCAAGTGTTCTTGTGTTGAGGGAAGACTTAAGTATATGCCCAAAGTCCATCTGCTACGTTAGTGCTTTGCCATATAAAAATATATACATAGCCCAATACCTCTATCTTTATATGCTAATATATATATATATATATACATATCTATAGTTATACCTCCATAAGTAGCTTTTACCTCCCAGTTTAAAGGCAAACAACTTTTAAATGTAATCTATTTCTTTCCTAAAAAAATCATAAAACTGCATATTCCTACCAGCAATTCACAAAGATTTCCTTTTTAATGCATCGACTACACCATTAGATTTTTAAAAATTGCATAAAGTCTGATGGGCATCAATGCATGTTGTTGTTTCTTTCTTATTCCCCATGGATCATGGTTAGTTATTGTTGGCAATAGATGCTCCAATATATTATAAAGGTTTGGAAAGGTTGATTATGACTGAGGTAAGCTGACAACCTGGAAGCATTTCCTTCGTTACAGAAAACTAAAGGAAATCCTTTCCCCATCAAAAGAACCTCGTCTAGGGCTCTAGCATGAGCATTCACCCCTACAACAGGGCTTGAACCTTGTTTGTCTTGAGAAAGATAAGTTATCTTACATGGAATTATTCCAGTCTGAGATGTAAGCCTGGCTTAATTGCCAATTGCGTTTCTTAGTCTCAATATCAGCTGGTTGCCTTCCCTGCTTGTTTTCTTTGTTCCGCAGTCGAGGTATCCTCCACCTTGGTCTTGGGCGGCAGTCGGTGTTTGTTCCGAGCGCAGTCAGACTTCATCCTAAAGTCCCCAGCACGACGCCTCTCTCCAACGGGGAAATTTTGCTCATAACTAATGGTCATGCAGCCTTACCGATGGCCCTTGATCCAGACTGCTCCTTTCATTAGTGAACCTTACAGTTGCATATTATGCCACCTGCAAAAATACTCCAGGCACTTTACATTTGTGTATTCACCGTGAACTAGGATACCTTTATCATAGATTAATTATAAAGTCTCATAAGCACTTAAGAGAAAAAATAATTTAGCTTTGACTATACATCAAACCCAGAGAGTTGTTACATATTTTCCCTGGCCAGAGGGAACCTCTTTAGAGAGGTGGCAGGTATGTGGTGAAGGTTTTCTAGCCCCTGACTTCCTCACCTGCCCCTGAATTCCACGTGTATACACTGGAGGAGGGCTGTGAAGCTAGAGCTTGGGACTCGAGGGGCCCTGTCAGTATTAAGAGAGAAGTCAATTGCACCTTGATTTCCTGCTGAAGTCCTGGTTATTAGTCAAGATTGGGTGTATTGATTACTGAAAGGATGTACATTTGTCACTAGATATGAGCTGAGCATTTTGCCTCCCTGAGGATGACCAGGAATGTTTTCATCCAAGGAAAAAATAGTGAAGAGTCAAAATCTTGAGTTTGCTCAAGTTGATCAAAAATGAACAAAGATGTGACATTATCACTGCTCCTGACAAGGCCTGCTCCTTTTTACATGCCAGTCACCTAGAAAGGTGATACTTCTAACAAGGGAGATTAACAAGGCCTGGAGCATCAATAACATTGAACAAAATTTAGGCTCGAAGGAAATGTCTAAAGCAGTTATAAAGAGAGATGGGACAGTTGTCAGTGCTCCTCAAAATGGGCTGGAGAATAACAGTTGAAGTCAGCCACCTGGAATGCAACTGGTTATGAACTGATTAATAAAAAGATTTTTTATTGAATTGATATCATTGACTACATTCAACTATGTGCATTGCCCACAGTGCTGAAACAAATCTCATGCTGGAAAATATAATTGTGAACAATCTTTGCCTCTGAACCCTGTACATCATTGCTTTCCCTCCTGGATATTTATGCATTCTCTTTAGATACTGAAGGTTTTCTCAGGAGCTTCTGAAGAGCTGCTACTATGTCCTTGTTCCTCAGGCTATAGATGACAGGGTTTAACATGGGTGTGAGGACAGTGCAAAACACAGACACAGCCTGCTCCTGCTCAGGGGTGTGAGAGGAACCTGGTGTCATATACATATAAACACATGGTCCCAGATAAAGACTTACCACTGTAAGATGGGAGGAGCAAGTGGCCAAGGCCTTGTTCCTGCCTTGGGGAGGGTTCATACGAAGAACAGTGAGGAAGATGAGGGTATAAGAAGTCATGATAAGTCCAAAGGGGATGATGATAAAAATAACACCCAGCACAAAGACCACCAGCTCATATTTGGACGTGTCTTTGCATGAAATCTTCATAATTGCTGGCATCTCACAGTAGAAATGGTGGATTTCTCTGGATCTGCAGATTGGCAGGTTCATGGTGTAGGATGTATGAACTATGGCCACGAGGATGCCACCAATCCACGATACTATGGCCATTTGCAGGCAGACCCCGTGGTTCATGAGAACTGCATATCTCAGGGGATTACAGACAGCTACATAACGGTCATAGGCCATAAGGGTCAAGAGGATGCATTCAGCACCTCCCAAGGTAAAGAAGAAGAAGATTTGGGTTCCACAGGCAAACCGGGTGATGCTCTTTGTTCCAGAGAAAAAGTTGAAGGCCATCTTTGGAACAGTGCTACTAATGAGGGCCAGGTCGACAAGAGAGAGTTGACTGAGCAGAAAGTACATTGGGGTGTGCAGCCTCAAGTCCATCCATGTGAGGAGGAGCAGGATGAAGTTCCCAGTGACAGCAACAAGGTAGATGAAGATAATCGTGTATATGAGGAAAGTGACATACTTCATATTGGGGAAGAGTCCCGTGAGAATAAAATCTGTTGTTAATGTCTCATTTCCTCCTTCCATGGCTGCCGCTGATCGGGCTGAATGAACAGGGGAAAAAAACAAGAAAGACAAATGTCAAGTGAAATGACATGCGACCTTTTCAAATATTTGTATTGGCTAATGATGGGAGTCTCTAGGTGGGGCAAAGAAGTAAGAGCTTGGTTACTAATCAAAGGACTGTTGGTTCAGAGCTACCCTGAGACACCTCGGGGGAAAATGGCCCATAGTCACAGCCATTGAAAGTCCCGGGAAGTTCACTTCTCCTCGGACACACTGGAGGTCGCTATCATCAGAATCAACTGAATGCAATCGGCTTGTTTGCTTTTCTCTTAGCACCACAGAAATGCTGTGTAGCAAACAACTTCTCATATCTCAGTGACTTAGGACAGAATTATCTCTCTTTTTTTGCTCCTATGTCTGTGAGCAGCTGGGGCACTTTTGTTGTAGGCTGCTGGGCCAGGTGTAGGTATTTGCTACCTGTATCTTATTCTGAGATCACTAGTTACCTAAGGGTGGCTCTTCTGATGGAGGGTAGCAGAAGGTATAAAGGGGGTGAGAGGACCATGTAAAGCCTTAAGGCCTGAACTAGACCTGACACTGCCATTCCCACCCACACTCCATTGGCTAAAGCAAGTTACAGCTAGAGGCCCAACATCATTGTGGTGTGGAACTAAACCCACCTACGGTGAAGCATAACAAGCCTGGGGATGGAAGAAATAACTGGAAGCAACTAACACGATCTACTATAATGTTTCTCAAAGTTCCTACCACCAATCTCTTTAATTTCATAGTGGGTGAGTTAGTTAATTGTGCCAGCCTGGCTGATAATCACATGTGGTGCTGGTTGAAAGGCGGAGGGATAAATGGGTGGTGAAGTCTCACCTTTCTAGTTCTCGGGTCTCTTGTTTTGTGATGGTTGTATCGGTGCAGCTGCCTTAGCAGTTCCCTGCTTCAGCTTGCAAGATTGACTTCCTACAAGACATCCCCAAGGAGAAGCCTCATGGATCTATCCCGATGCAGCCCTGGGTGCTGGAGCAGCCATGTGGAGACCCCTGCCAGTGCTGAGATGCTTACACGTTCACTGACTCAGCTTTCCTCCTGCAGTCGGCATTATTGCCTCTGTTTTGTGAGGTGAAGGACTTTGTGGACTGGTGTTGGGTATGGGTTAATGTTGGACTTGTGGGCTTGGGCAGCATTGGGTTGGGATGTTTTCGTGATGCACCTTTTCTTTACATAAAACTCTCTCTTATACGTGAGTTGCCGTAGATTTGTTTCTCCAAAGTACCCAGACTAATACAGTGGGTTTTCAGATATTTCATGATCTGGATTCTTAATCCTCTGTTTAATGCATTCTGTTAAGCCTAAATAATGAAGACAATGCATTTCATGTAGCCACATATGTCCACTGTGGTCAATTATTTGAAGCCATGCATAGTCATTGAATTATATTCATAAACATATAATAGATCAATATTATATATTGAATATATACATTCTCATCTTATACGGGCTTTTGCCTATGATCCAATTTTGAGTACTCATGGAAGATATGAACCATAGGTAGGCATAAAATATAGTACAGTAAAAAAGCCCATGATTCCTGTATAGGAGTGTATCCTCATAGGCCATAATCAGTGTTTTTAATTCATTGACATATAGTTAGAGCAACCTAATGATGAACCACATCAAGATAAATTCAGAAATTATTAAATTATCTTCCATACACCATGGATCAGAACTTAAACTGTATCTCTGGACAAGTATAAGAATACCATCATCACCACCATCCACCATCAAAAAAATAATAAAGAGAAAAGTGTAAATGGAGAATTTTCTACTCTAAGTCGTTTGTTGCAACCTGGAAGGAATTGAGCCCGTCACGTAGGCATTTTGGAAGAATTAATGCACAACAAATGTGAAGGGTATAAGAATTCAGGGAGAGTTGGGGTAGAAAACTTCGAACAGGACATGAAGAGAGCATCAAATTGTTCTTTTTCTCACAAGCAAACCTGCCACAGTGGTGCTTCCCGGGAGTCCTGGTCACGGTGTAAAATTACAAAGGAAACATGAAGACAAACTTCGACTCTACTCTCAATGTTACTTAAGATTTACTTAGTTAACCACACTCACATATGGGGCCCCCAAATGCTATCGTCCCACTTAGTGACTACTGTATTTTAAAATACAGGACATAGAAAATTCCCAAAGAGGGAGACCTTAAAGGGAAAACAAAACAAAACTCTATTAAAGAATATTTATGCCCTTGGTTGGCCCAGGAGGTTATTTTATTTTAGTAGTGATATTCTTAATGCTAGCCCCATATGTTTAAAATTACATAGCATGCCCAATTATGTTTATAAATATAAATATTTTCCCATCTTCTCAAGTTTCTATAGCCGTCTCTATGAAGGTAAAGAAGTGCAGTGCAGAAGAGTAAAGAAGTACCTATATACTCGAGTATAAGCCGAACCGAGTATCAGCCGAGGCACCTAATATGACCACAAAAACTGCATTAAAAATGTGCTGGAAAAACTCAGCTTATACATGAGTATATACGGTAGATGTAATTACTGAAAGCCAGGTCTGCTTCTTTCATATATTACCTGTGCTCATGTACCTACACAACTAGATGTTCATCAGCACATCATGTTTTTCCAAGTAGTGGTGTCCCAGGTTACTTCCAAAAGAGAGACAGTGTTGGTAGACTCAAGCATTTTGGGTTCTGTGCGCAGACTCAGTATTTCTGAGACAATGTGGGCAAATTACAAGGACTCAGGAAAACAACAAGCATGCAGAAGATCCTTGAGGGAAACAGGAAGCCACTGAGGAAGTGAGTCCCTAGACATCTACTACTTAACTTATTTGTCTTGATTGCATTGAATGTTCCTCAAAACAAGACTCTGGGGAAACGACCCTGTTTACCCCAAATTTTATTCTCCTGGGTTGCTTGATGATGTACCGTATTTTGGCCTCTCTTGGATTCCTATTTCCTTGGGATTGAATTTCAACCTGATCAGCACCAGATCACATTATTTGTGAACTCTTCCTAAATGTCCATGAAGATGAGACATTTCATGGTTTTTCCCCCAGTAATGGGAACATATGGAAGGAATTCTTTCTTCTAAGCCTAAAAAAAGAACAGCATTGTCCTGCAAGACAAATAAAACTATTAACTACTATATAACCGGGCCATTTTGTTTTTCAGTAAAATTTAAATTGTTCACATAAACAATATATTAATTTACTATCAGTAGGATACAAGCTTGTTTATTCATATACAATAGCAAGTAATATTATGTGAAATTCACTTTTTTTCTGTTTTAATTATGCTAATTATTCTCATCTCTTTCCCTGGAGATATTTACAGGTTGAAATGAGCATTTATCTTTGTACTATTTTTCTAACTAATATACAAATACATAAGTTATGTTTTTATTTTATTCCTGTGGTCTTTAAAATTAACTTTATTTTGGAATTATTTACACTTCCAGAGAAATTGAAGGACAGCACAGAGAATGCCCATATAGCCTTCTTTCAAACTGAAAACGAGAAAACACTGAAGCTCACTGCCATCCAGTCAATGCTGCCTCATCGTGACCCACAGGAGACTTAAAGTCATTACAGGTGTAGATCACCTCATTTTTCCCCACAAAGCAGCTGGTGGGACTATGCCGCTGACCTTGTGATTGGCAGCTCAATGCGCAGCCCATTCTTAGCTTTTCCTAATGTGAACCTTGGTACACCTGCCGATATACTAAGAAGGCAGCACTGGTACATGACCATTAAGTAAACTCCAGACTTTGAGCGGTTTTCCCATTAATGTTCTTTTTGTTGGTATTGTTCTAAGATTTAATTCTGGATACCACATTTATTTTGTTGTTGTTAGTTGCCCTTGAGTTGGCGCCGAATGATAGTCGCCAGGCCTATATACAAAACTGCCCCGTCCTGCACCCTCTTCGAAATTCTTATGTTTAACTCCTCTGTTGCAACCACTGTGTCAATCCTTCTTCTTAAGGGTCTTCCTCTTTTTTGCTGTCCTCTACTTTACCAACCATGATGTCCTTGTCTAGGGATTAGTCTCTTCTGACAACATGTTCAAAATACATGAGAGGAAGTCTTGCCATCTTTGCCTCTAAGGAGCACTCTGGCCTTACTTCTTCCAGTACAGATCGGTTTGTCCTTTTGGCTGTCCATGGTGCATTCAATATTCTTCTCCAGCACCACAATCCAAATGCATCAATTCTTCTACGGTCTTCCATATTCAACGTCCAACTTTCACATGAATCTTATGCAATGGTGACTACCATAGCTTGGGTCAGGTGCACTCTTAGTCCTCAAAGTAACATCCTTACTCTTTAATTCTTTAAAGAGGGCTTGTGCAGCAGTTTACCTAATGCAATATATCTTTTGATTTCTTGAATGCTGCTTCCATAAACAAGGATTGTGGATCCAAGCAAGACAAAATCCTTGACAACTTCAACCCTTTCTCTATTTATCATGATGTTATCTATTGGTCCAGTTGTGAGGATTTTGGTCTTCTTCACATTGAGTTGTGATCCATGGTGAAGGCTGCAATCCTTGATCTTCATCAGCAAGTGCTTCAAGCCCACCTCACTTCTAGCATTCTAGCAAGCTAGGTTGTGTCATCTGTGTACCATAGATTGTTAATAAGCCTTCCCACAATCCTGATGCCACACTATTCTTCATACAATCCAACTTCTCTGGCGATTTTCTCAGCATGTAGACTGAACAAGTGTGGTGAGAGGATGCAACCCGGTTGCACACCTTTCTTGATTTTAAACCACACATTATTCCTTTTTTCTATTTCCACAGCTGCCTCTTAATCCATGTACAGGTTCTAAATAAGTACAATGAAGTGTTCTGGAATTCCTATTCTTCTCAAGATTAACCATGCTTTATTATGGTCCATATAGTCTAATGCCTTTGCATAGCCAGTGAAATACAAGTATCTTTATGGTATTTTTCTGCTCTGAGCCAAGATCCATCTGACATCAGTACTG